TAAAATGATAAGACATCACAGTACAACTCGACACTCGGCAAATCTCAACAGGATGGTAACATTACTGGAGATAGAAACAAAAGTCATCCTTGGAGCAAAGTCCTTTTACAAGGCTTAAATATCTCTGGAGAGGAAGGTATTTTTGATAGAAAAACCAAAGTTCAGTCTTCTATTGTCAACAATCCATTGAAAGGATGACAACACGAACAATGTTTCGGCTGGAAAAAAGTCATGCTTAGCTGGAGATACTGGGAACACCACCCTCTGATAATGTATGAAAAACATATCTTGACAAATCTAGATTGCCCCTGGGACCAATTTTGGATGCCCCAAGTTTACTGCTGATGGGCTGCATGCTGCGCGACAATTCTTGCGAATAGCTTCACTTCTAACACGCCCCATGCTATCTGGTTGATGAGGAGAAATCGTCTCAAGAGGATTTTACAAAAGACCTGGCATCCACCATGCCCTGGTGCCTTTAAACTCTTAGCAAGATTCGTCGAATCTCGACGTGATTGCCCCGGATTGACTGTACTTGGCACAACAAAGTCTTCAAATTTTGCCCCAAAAAGGTAAACAAGTTGGAAAGCATTAACTGGGAGAAGCAACATGTCCGTGCTTACGGTCTTCAGGTGACATGCCCAGGGATATGATTTTTCTTGACGTGATCCGCCAATTACTCAACATAGTTTCAGGCCTTAAAAGAATAAACTCATCACTGGTGCTTATGTGAGCTTCCTTGACATCAAACAAATGTTTTGCAGTTAGAAAAAGTTTACAATGAGAATGAAAATTCTAATGCAACAGTTATGTAAGTCTTGAAGATTTTGAAAGATATCGCACAAATTTTGCGAGTTAAAGCACCATTTATTTTTGTATAGGAAAAACATATGATACCAACATAACTATTTAGAACATTCATGGGAGTCAGGAACACTATCTCATTGAAGTATGCTTTCAAAATAACCTTGCTTCAATTAGGACTTTTGAAGGTTGTAACGTGGTCTGGTTCATGGTTTTTAGAAAAAAGATTTTAAGGCTCAAAATATTTGGTGCCCACCCATTCTTCATGATGTTCTCCAACCCTATGTTCAGTTAATTCAACATGAGTGTTCATCTCTCAAAAGGATTTTGTGACGGTCAAGGAAACGACGAGGCTTTCGGAGTAAAAACCACCCTCATGTCTTCGTGTTTGTAGTCACCAATTTGCTCTTTGCTGAGGACTTTTCTTTGTAGTCCTTTCTTTGCAATTTTTGTTTTCCCTAATTTTTGCCTGAACTAATTTTTTTTGAATTGATAGTCCAGCGGGATGCCCTAATTTTGCCTAAGTCACACGTTTTCATGTTTTTGACTTAGCAGGCTTTTTCTTTTTCTTGGTTTTTGACTTTTTGAACAAAATGTATGACATTAGCTTGTCTTTGCTTGTTGATAGGATTGTGATTGCCTCGTTTCTTGATGAATGAGGGATAACATTGTTGTTCCACATCCTCTAGATTCATTATACATGAAGGATAGCCCTCGTAGTTTCTCTTCAAAAAACATCTTCCTTATGAATTTCGAACACTCAGTCAGATTAACTAAAAACTACCCTGCCCCAGGTTAAAATTCAAGGTTTTTTCGTATAAAAAAGAAACTTCTGCTTCAAAGGCTCAAAAGGGGTTAGCAAGGGATTATCTTCCTTATATCTCCGGTGTTTAGGGATTTGAAACAATGCCTGTACATCATCAGCAAGATTTTATCCAAAAGCAAACAACCAGAGATTTTGTGTTCTTTAGATCATCATCCTCCCCTCAATCTCTGCCTAGGCAAGAGAATGAGCAACAAGTTGGTATCATAATGCAAAAGCAATTTAAAATTTTAAAACAAATATGAGTGAAACGAATGAATTTCTTCAAGACAAACATGCTCATTGTATTAAGATAATCATTTAGATGCAAACAAGTCCTTACATGCAAACAATGTTTTGATAAACAAGAAAAATTACAAAAAGCAGAAATAAGTTAATGATCGGGGAAGGCTTTCCATCTGGACTTGAATCACCGAAAACATCCTTCAAAAATCAAAGTCACTATCAATCGTGTTTACTCTTCGGCGCATGCTTGATTTGAACTTCAAAACCAACGTCCTTGAATGACAAGATACCACTTCTGACCAACTTCTGAACCTCGATCTTCAAAGAAAAGTAACCCTCCAAGCCATGCCCAATAGAACCTTGATGAAAAGTACAAGCCAAATCAGCTTTGTAGTACCAATGTATCTTCTCAGGAACCTTCGGTGGAGGTCGGGTCTGAACCAAATTCCTCTGCATCAGGATAGGGAACAACTCTGTATAGGTGATTGGAATTGGATCAAACTGGGTTTTCCTCTGATTAGGAACTTGCTGATTCTGTTGATGAATAGGAGAAACATGATGATTCTGACAATTATTTCTTCCTCTGGTTCTCTTCTTGGAAAAGTCATTATCAAACTTCTTCACACCATTAGCTGAGCTACCATCTTCATATAAACATCCCTTTCAGACATCTTCTTCTAGACGCACTCCCACATTCACCTTGTCAGGAAAGTCACCAGGCGCATTAATTATCATCTTCTCATGAGAGAATGATTTTAGAGTTTCAGTGAAGACTTTTATCATCGCTTCCTCCCTCCTAGAAGGATTGACTTGGGCGGCAACCAGAATTTCAACCAAACCAGTTAAGCGCTCCACACTAGCTTTCAAAATAATCATCTCTCTATGGAGTTCAGAAACTTCTTGCTTGATATTCTCCATTGTTCTCTTAGCGCGAGTGTTGTACTGGTGAGACCGAAGGAAAAATAAGACTCGGGAAAAGACCTTTGAAAGTGAAACAAAAAATGTAGAATGATGCATGATATGCAAAAGAGAGTTTTTATTTGATTTTCAAGGAACTCAAGATATTAAGTTGTAAACATCAAAGTATGAAGATAGAAGATGAATTTTAAATTGGCTCCAAACATTGATCAAGTTATCATCAAGATCAATCATCCATTTTGGTGGATTAGGGTTTTCGCCCTATCAACACCCAAGATCCATTGAGCTTGACGAAACTTGTGATGTTTACAAAGAAATACCTCCAAATTCCTTCAAAGTCAAGTGAAAAGGGTTTTATGGTTGCATGAATGCATGGCTATGCAACAACCACAAGCAAGGTCACAAATAAAGTCGAAAGGTTCAACGTCACGAGCATGGAGTCAAGGTAAGGAACACCCCCAAGGTATGTACTAACGGTTTAATCACACCTGTAGAACAAGGTTCTAAGAGTTCCCGGAGTCTACATTCCTCCTTCGGATATTACCAACGTCTTGATTACTCAATAATCAGCAATATTCTCAAGAGAAACTCATCCGAGCGTAGCATCGCGTGACAACTATTTCCGGATTACTCCGTTATAATCTCCGCGCTACACCTAAAAGGCCAAGATGGGTTATGGTTCTACGGTTCCCAGCTTCTCTGGCTCCCAGGTCGAAAATAATAATGTCTTCCCGATTACTCGGTAAACAAATATTACGTTCAAAAGGCCCTTCCACTGAGTGGGGGATCTCATGCCTCCTTCTTCGGGATTACTCCCTCAAAGTTAACATGACTATACCGCTCGTCCTATTCCTAAGTGTAACTTAGTCCGGGTATAGGACTTGTCCTTTGTAAATATTATCAACACCCAAATAATCATAATATATACATATAATCAAACAAGCAAATAATGATAAAACAGATAAAACAAATTAGGCTTAACCCACTTAGGGATGGACCAGCAAGAGGTCAATCTTTCCCCAGCAGAGTCGCCAATTCTGTAGCGGTGAAAATCGGAGATCAAGCTATTAATTAACTTGACTCACAAAAGCAAGAGTCGCCACCGCGCTTTATTATTTCCAAGGGAAAAGGGAAAAGAGCGAAATAAAACCCTAAAATATGCAATGTAAAATAATACTTAAAAGTAATGAAAATACGATGCGTTTTTGAAAGAGATCGAGAGTTCGGGGGTTGGTTATACAATGGGAAGGTATTAGCACCCAATGCATCCGCGGTACTCCGCATGAACCTTTTGAAATATCTGTTTTTTGGTTAAAATTGTTTGCTTGATTAAAATGGGTATGGATGAGATTTTGAAGATACGACGACCTAGTGTCGAAGTTTTGACTTAAAAGGGGTGTGAGTTTAAAAATTGATTTGTAGGAGATTTGTCTTAAGATTAACAAAACGAAAAAAAGTATGAAGGGATTTCACATAATCGTATTAGATACTCGATGACATGAAGTCAACAAATTAATTCTTTCCCTTGAATTTGGCACAAACAAAGTATAAAAATCAAATAATCAGAAAGAATTTAAACAAAATAGCACTTAAATCATTTAAATAGTTAACAACCAAAAATTAATTAAAATAAAGAATGACAAATTAAATCAAAATTATCACAACATCAGTCAAGGAATATCATGAGGAAATTAATTCAAACAAATAAGAAACAACGAGGTCATGATAATTAATAAGAGACTAATTTAGAGAGACAAAGAAAATCAAGCGAGAAAAGATAACTAAATGAAATAACTAAAAAATAAAGTCACAAGTTTTACTAAATTTATTTTAAAAGCTAAACTAGTTAATTTAAAATTATCTAACTAACTAAAGTTATAAAGAAAACCTAACTAAAATAATAAAAGAATTCATCAACTCTTAAATTAAACAACTAAAATCGAAAGAAAAAGGGTAGAAGGTTAGATCATGGGAGCAAAATTGGATCAGGAGTGTAGAGAGGTAATAGTGAGACACTAAGGCCCGATCACAAATGGGTCCAGAAGTGTTTTTTATTACACTAAACTTTAGGGTGTTAAAAAAATAAAATGGCATGGGCCTAATGGAATTACTTGGTCCCAAAGTCAAACCCAACCATCATTTTTCAGCATACTTATTCCAATTAAAACAAAACTAAGAATGATTAAATAAAACAAAACAAAAACAAAAAGAAAATTGACACATGAGAAGATTAGGGTTGGAGGTTGTAATACCTCAGCTTCTTAAATGCTTCTCTCTTCTTCCTCTCAACAGCAGCAACAGCAAGTGTGGCTTCCTCATTAGCTTTCTTTGAGTGCTTCTCAATGGATTTTGACCATTTTAAACTAGACCCGCCAACGCCTAAAACTTTGGATTTCCAAAGAGAAAACCCACGGGTCGACCTGGTGTACACAGTATCCCTCTTTCTCGACAGAAGCAATTTCTTGCCGGCTGCAGATAAGGAACCACTATTGAAGCTTGAAGAAGAATTATGAATGAAGCTTCTTAAATATGTTGTTCTTTTCCATGGAAACTTGTGATAATGCCACGAGTTCCTGTCATTTCTAGAAGAATTTTTACTACCAAGTGTCCACACCAATGAGGCTCTTGAAGATTTACTTGACATCCCATCAACTTTATGTGACCGCCTCTTGGTAAACCTCCTGTTGCAAAGTACTCTACTAGCTCCTCGGGCGTCAGAATTCCCAATGTTATTGGGTATTGCAACTGTGTGGTTTTCAAACGTAGTTCTAACCAATTGATTTTTTCTCCTCTTGAAATAGCTATCAGAGAAGGTTGTTTGGCCTTTGTCATCAGTAGAGACAACCATATCACTAGAACTCGAAGTAGCAACCAATTGATTTGTTTTAGGCTTTACATAAACTATTCTTTTTAAGTTCAAAGAAATATTTCCATCATTTGCTTCGGCTGTACATCCCCCATTGCTAGATGGACCAGCTTGTTTTTCAAGAGCTTCATGTTGTTTTGGTACATCTCCAGAGGAGACTGGTGCATCATTACTCTCAGAAGACTTCCTAAGATCAGCTGTGTTTTCACAGCAGCCACTGGAAGGGGGTTCTAGCAACCGAAAAGATATATTTTCGTCTGATTTGTTGTCAACGGGTAGAACAATATTAGATGCTTTTGTTTTTGAGCAGATTGACGGATCTATCAAATCAGCCCTGCTTTCAGGTTTGGTGCCTTTAGGTATTTCACCTAAGCCCAAAGGTAGCAGATTTGTAGAGGAGATGTGAGGTATAGCAGAAACTGGAGTAGGTTTCCTCATGAGACTGGTAGAGGTGATTTGAGGTATAGCAGAAGCTGGAGTAGGATTCCTGACAAGACTGTTACCTTTACGAATGTAAGAAGTATTTTGAAAGTTCTTTTTCCTTTCGAGAATTGGCTTTCTGGGAGGAACTATTCTTGCTGAAAATTTGACTCTAGGTAGAGGAGCGGGAGGATTATTATCAGTGCCATTGATATATACAGGAGCTGTGTTTTTTTAGACATAGCAAAGAGGTAGCTTTAGATAAAGATGATGAGTGGTTTTTTTTGTATTTTCTTTTTCTATCGATCCGCAACTCTTGCTTACGACCAATGAGAGCAAAGCAAAGTGTAACAAACATTTTTTATGACAGAAAAGCCCTTTAATGATAAAATAACTTAAAAACCTAAAAGTATAAAATATAACTCAATTTAAAATAGTTTTTTTTAATTAAAAATAAAGACACAAAATGACCGAAAACGAGAAAAAACGGACGAAAATTTATCCGAAAAAATAAAATGAACACATTAAAATAATCTACATGTCACAAAGATTAAAGAAAAAATATTCAAGAAGTCAAAAATCAAAAATAAAATAATAATAAAAATATCAGACTAAACAGACGTTTAAGGTTAAAACGAGACTTCGAACTATACCGAAAAATAAAGCGAGCATACCGTCATAATCTACGCGAAGCACAGATTCATAAAATGATCGGTAAAAGGTGAAAACTTGAAATATTTTCTCGCTACTTTCCCGCATAGTGTCGAATCGCTTTTAACAGTCTGTCTATAAAACCAAAATATTTTTATTATCGACATATAAACAACTTGGAGCAACGCAACAAATGAGTAAATAGATAAAAATGCATGAAGCAAAATGCCGGGTATTTTACAACTGAAAGACGATGCAAACTTTGATTTAAACTGACTTTTCTGGTCAACTTAAACACGACTAATGATGCAAAATATGATGAATGAAGATATTTACTAATGATTGTGACCAAATGACAAAATATGGTATGAAAGTGCGACTAAAACATATTAGGGGCGAAATTTAAGGTGCAACAGTTGTGCCTTGATGAATCAGTCTTCGAGAATCCACAATCAACCGTACTTCTGGCTTGGGAGACTCAAAACCTTAATTGAGGCGCGACACCTGATGCTCTTAATTCAGACCTGTCTCTGCACATGACACAAAAGAAAACATGAACATACACATTTGTATGCGATTAGAAATTAGTGATACATGGGCTAAAAATGTTCAAAACACTTGACAATCTTCGCATAGTCAATGCTTGAAGGTGAGAGGTTAAAACCGACTGTATTTCGTGACCTTGACTTATGCAAAAATAAAAATGGGATCTTAGGTCAAAAATTGGGGTACAACACCTCTAAGCAACCCTTTTGGTCTCATGTCAATTGAGTCTTCCATGTTCATGTATGAAGCTTTGACCCAAAAGGTGTTTTTGTTGACTTTTCAAAATGACCTATAATGTGAAAACTCATATCTTTTTGTGAGTGCATATTATGAACTTGGAAGCTGAATATGAATGGTAGGGAATTGCATCTTCTTAAAAATGAGCTTTGGATGGGTCATTTCTGATAAAGTATGAGAAAGTTATGCTTGGTCAAAGTTGAGTTGACTTTTCCTACAAAACCCTAATTTAGCAACTTTTGGGTTTTGATGGATTGTGAGCAATCCTTGAGGAATCATGATAAAACCTTGATAAAATGATGAATAATACTTCAAAATGAGGGTGTTGACCAAAAATCTTGAAGTTTAACTGTATGTGGGCCACCGTTGACTTTTGACCTAGCATAGTTGATTTTCAGGCATTTGGGCAATTGATTGGGAAAACTTCTTCTGCAAGGCTTGAAACTTGACATGGATAATCTTAAGAACATATTAGGACAATGGTGAGCATTTGAGTCCTTTGTGGTTCACACATCTTGATTAAAATAGAAACCCTAATTTGAGGTAGACTGCCTTAGGAGAGAGTTTGTCTGGTCAACTCTTGAACTTCCTTGAGCAATTTGGGGACCTCACTTGACATTTGTTAAGAAATATGGGAGGGAAAATTTTGGGGGTACAACAGCTTCCCCTGTTCAATCTTCTTAAACCTGAGGATGTAGATTGGCTCGTCTATCTTTCGTGATCTGAAGGTGGAAGATGATTGAACACTAGAGTTCCCAGAAATTTGCACTCGCATGGAGTGATACTTGATTTGTGACATTGGGAATGGGCTTATAGATTCCATTTGGTAGTTGCTAGAGAATTGTCAGAGATGGGCTTAAAGATTCCATCCGAAGAAGTGTCGATCGCATAAGAGATTCCTTTGCGAGAACCCGTATACCTGTTGTTGAGGAGGACTTCGCTGGGGAATGCTGGTCTCTGTCTTGGGGTGAAATAGAGTTTTAGGAGCTTCAGTTGTCTGTTACTCTACTGGGGCATAACTCCGGTTTGGGGAGCGGAAGTCAACTGTGTGTTTGGTAGGGGTATATGCTGCACCAAGACTTTCTGGGGAAATGTGAAATCAATTGTGTTTGATTGGGTCCTGGTCTTTCAGTGCTGTGGACTGCTATCTGGGGATAAGATAGGAAGAACCTGGATAGTAAGGTTATGAGAAGGAACCTGGATAGTAGGGTTACCTCGAGATGAAAGCCTGGATAGTAGGGTTGTGAGAAGGAACTTGGATAATAGGGTTACTTTGAGATGAAAGCCTGGATAGTAGGGCTGTAAGAAGGAACCTGGATAGTAGGGTTACTTCGAGATGAAATCCTGGATAGTAAGGCTGTGAGAAGGAACTTGGATAATAGGGTTACTTCGAGATGAAAGCCTGGATAGTAGGGCTACTTCGAGATGAAAGCCTAGATAGTAGGGCTGTGAGAAGGAACCTGGATAGTAGGGTTACTTCGATATGAAAGCCTGGATAGAAGGGCTGCTGAGAAGGAACTTGGATAGTAGGGTTACTTTGATATGAAAGCCTGGATAGTAGGGCTTTGAGAAGGAAACTGGATAGTAGGGTTACTTCGACATGAAATCCTGGATAGTAAGGCTGCGAGAAGGAACCTGGATTGTAGGGTTACTTCGATTTGAAAGCCTGGATAGTAGGGTTGTAAGAAGGAACCTGGATAGTAGGGTTACTTCGACATGAAAGCCTGGATAGTAGGGCTGTGAGAAGGAACCTGGATAGTAGGGTTACTTCGACATGAAAGCCTGGATAGTAGGGCTGCGAGAAGGAACCTGGATAGTATGGTTACTTCAATATGAAAGCCTGGATAGTAGGGATGTGAGAAGGAACCTGGATAGTAGGGTTACTTCGATATGAAAGCCTGGGTAGTAGGGCTGTGAGAAGGAACCTGGATAGTAGGGTTACTTCGAGATGAAAGCCTGGATAGTAGGGCTGTTGAGAATGAACCTAGATAGTAGGGTTACTTTGATATGAATTTGGATAAAACTGCAGAGGGAACCTAGGTAAGGTTTCTTTTGTCGCACCGATGATTAGTCTGTTTAGCTTTGAGTGTTAATCATGGACCAACTGGAAATTGTTGATAATAACTGTCTTTCCTGAAAGAAATACAGGGTTAGTTATGTGTGATGCATCAATGCATTGTGATGAGGTTCTTAAGGTAATTGAGATCATGTTATATGTAATGTATGCACATGTCACGATGTATGAACATGAAATGCTGACGTAATAATCTGAGTCTGGGAAAATAAATCCCTGATTACTGTTTGGAGAGTATGAGAAATGGTATTCTTGACTGCTGTAAAAAACCATAGTTCCTCTATTTCTATTGAGGATGGTGAACAAAGATGGCTATGCTGGGGATTTGCCCCTCGTTTACGGATATTCTACCGAGGAGAGACCCTATTTGAGAACAACTCTGCGGGAGAATAACTCTATTTGAGAGGAGATACTCTGTTGATAGCTTTGCTGATTTAGATAAATAAACTCCACTGGGGATGAATTTCCATTGCTGGTGATAATGAATTCTGTTGGAGATTGAATTTCTTCTTGTGAGAGAAATAAACTCTGCTTGGGGAAAAATTTACCGACTCACTAGCGATTGTGAACCTCGGCTGGGGAGAGTTGTGTCCTGTTCGGGAAAGCTAACACCACTGTCTTTGGATACTTTTTACTCTGTGGGGAGTGTATGTGCCACCACCCATGTTCTTAAGCTGGCTCTATCTCGGCACCTGATGGGAAAAGTAATTGTAAGGTTTGGGCACTACTTATTTTCCATGTTCCTGGAATTACGAGTAATCGTCTTTTGTTTCTTGTGTAAATATTATGAGCAGTCATTATTTTCAAATGCATATATCAAAAATGAATCATTGGACGTTCTTGCAAAACAAAACAGAAAAAGAAAAACAAGTTGAAATTTCTTGTGAAAATGAATTGTATTGATTTTTGCAATTGGCCTGTAATAGGCATGTTTGTACAAAGAGGCTAACGTCCTAGTAAGAGAACACCGTCGAAAGAAATTACAATTTGTGTAAAAGAAATAAAAACAGCTATGTGAAACGACCCCATTGAGTTTCAACTCTGCTATTGCCTTTATATCTTCAAGCGTATCATCGCCTCACTACTTGGTCGAAGGTGGATCGGATTGATTGGCGTCGTCTGAGCTTGATAGTCGATACCGATGTTTGGTTGCGAGATGATCCAATGAGACATAGTGTTACGCTTCGATCCCTAATTTTTTCCTGGACCGCCCTTTCGGGTTTTCAGTCCACCGGGATACCCTTTTTTGCCCAAGTCGCCTTTTCAGGTTTTCGACTTGCTGGGTGTACAGTTTTTTCATTTTCATCCCTTACTTTTGTCCAAACCCTTTTGGTTCGCCGGGAAGCCCTTATTTTTGCCTAGTCTAGTCAACCTAGCGGGTCTTTGATTATGCGTAGTATCTTTTCACTATGTCTGCATTGACGGGGTGAGGAAAGTCGTCACCATCCATGGTGGTTAGAATCATAGCTCCTCTCGAGAAAATGTTCTTAACCACAAATGGCCCTTCGCATGTGGGGGTCCATTTTCCCCTGGGATCACCTTGCGGCAGTATGATGCGTTTGATCACTAGATCCCCGACTCGATATTCTTGACGTCTGAATTTCTTGTGAAAAGCCTTGATAATTCGTTTTTGATACGTCTGACCATGACAGATAGCAGTAAGTCTCTTTTCATCGATTAGATTCAGCTGATCAAGTCGGTTTCGATCCAGTCATCTTTGTTCAAAACCGTATCCTTTATAATCTTGAGAGAGGGTATCTGGACTTCGATGGGTAGGACTGCCTCCATGCCATACACCAAAGAGTAGGGTGTTGCCCCTGTCGATGTTCGTGTTGAGGTACGGTACCCAT